CATCACCTTGCCAGACAAGCCTGACCAAAGCCCAGCATGTCCCTCCGCTTAGGGTTTAAGGTTTCGGGTTAACCCTTTACGATTTCGGGTTTGTAGTTTGCGGTTGAGCGTGTACGACTTAAAGCTTTCGGGATTAGGGTTTACGATTCAGGTCTTTGGCTTTGGGCTTCAGGGTTGAATATCTTGCGGCTTCTCCTGCCTTCAAATTGTGAAACCAGAAAAAGCCTCTTGCAAAACCCCAAACCACGAGCCTCAGAAAGACCTCAAAATAGCGCCGCCGCTGTAGCGAAACGCAGATTTTCCAAAACAAGCCCTTCACGAAACTTTGACTAGCGACAGTTCCCCTAGCAGAAAATCCTTCGAAATCGCACTAAACGCACTGTAAAACGCAAAAAAACCGAAAAGTTTCTCGCCGCTTCTAGCACTTCGCGTACCCGCTTAACAGCATTCGAGCTATGAAATGCGCATATTTCCCCAGTTTCGCGCATCCGCCGCACCAAACCAATCAAAAAAATGTGTTTAAACGCACGGCCCCTTAGGGGCGCCGTCGCCTTGTTTTGCAAGCGAAAATTGGGTTTGGACGTGGACATGACGCTTCACAGTCCTTGTAGGATTACTATAGACCTCATGGTAGACTGCACAGCTTAGAGACGTTCTACATACTGCAGGCCTCTGCACAACGGGTATATACCTCACTATAACTTCGACAGAGCCCCTATAAACAGATGTAGATGTACATGTAGGTGTGCATACGTATATAGTCGTATGTCCCATATGTATGTATATATCTTCCTTATGTCATCCCTGTATTATTGTTCGGCCTTGCGAGGAGCGCTTGGGGCTGCGGCAGTCCTTCGAGAACCACTTAGCCGCTGGAAAGCATCATTAGTATTCAGGGGTAGGATTGGCGGTGCCCTTCAAAGAGAGACTCCTTCAATCGAACGCCTCTGTCTTCCTGTCTTCCCATTGCTTCCTTATACAAGGACCTCACTCGAAGGGTTTTTTTGGGAAAAACATCATTACCTCTATCTGAGAAGTATTGCTGCAATTCTCATTGTGGCCACCGCAACTGTCTTTGTGAACAAATTACTGGAACCACCATGATCAGCCGTGTGAGCTGTAGCACAAAGGCCTTCAACACATTTTTCTTAGTATCACTCCCAGTTTTCTTGCCCAATTCTTTGAGACGTTTTTCTGCCAATTTCTTCATTCCTTGCATCAGTGTTGTGGTAACTACTGTTGCTTACATGACGGTATGTGTTGATTCTACACGACCATCATTATCTTGTTGGTTTTGCTTGCAGCCTCAACTGCTCCGCAATTTGAGCCCCTTAAGCCTTAAGCCCTCACCTGTGATTCCTAAGCCCCATAAACTCCTAAACAGCAGTTTCCACTTAATGTTCCATTTTCTTTTCCATCGGTTCTTCTTTTTTGTAGTTTCCATTTTCCTTTCCATTATCCCATGATGGGCCTAAACCCTAAACCCTTTTCTCCAGAAAAGCATGCACCCCTCCCCCCTCCCCTGGCCAAAAAAAAAGACAAATAAAATGAACTAAACATTAAACCCTAAACCTCAAGCAGCTCACGGGCTCCAAACCCAGGCCACTGCACAAAAGGATGGAGGCCTTCTCCGCTTTTGGGCTCGGGGCTCGGCTTCCTGGGATTAGGATTTAGGGTTTAGGATTTAGGATTCAGGGTTTAGAATTTAGGATTTAGGATTCAGGGTTTAGAATTTAGGATTTAGGATTTATGGTTTAGGGTTTAGAGTTTAGGATTCAGGGTTGAGGGTTTAGGGATTTCTTGAGAGGAAGGGGATCATCACATAGGGTGTAGGGTGCAGGGTTTAGGGTAAAGGGCTTGGGGAGTAGGGGTATAGAGGCCAAGGATTTTCCCTGCTCCTCTGCCAGGGACCCCCTGACTTGCATTGAGGCCGCGTATAGGTTCTGTACGGCGAGTGTCACATTATTGGACTTAGGTTGGGCCTTCACTGGGTCGTTGTTGAACATATTGTATTCAATTTGAAAAGCCCAACATGAAATACAAGGTCATAAAGTTCCAACCGTATCCGATCAGGGACTAATAATGTACTAAACAAGCCCGACGGGCGATTAAAGTCGTAAAGCTCGTATCCCAACCCAACAGGGAACCGGTTCAGACCTTCAGCTTTGCTTACTGGGGCCTAGTTTGGGATAAGGGAGTCTAATCCCTATTTAACCCCTATATATTATATCTCCCTTATTCCTGACTAGCCCCAAACCCTATCTATCTATCTATGTATCTATCTATACATACATATATATATATATCTATATATATATATATCCTCTCTCTCTCTCTCTCTCTCTCTTCCGTTACTCCGTACTACGCCCCAATAAGTTCATGACGAGGTCTCTACCCGCCTGGATCCGCATGCGCTGCTTCTGGCAACGCCGCCTTCAACCGTAGCGAGCTGGTTGAGGTGCTTTAGGGGGTTCAGGGTTCAGGGGCTCCTCCGAAACAGTTTGCACAGGGATGCTTGGCGTGTGCGTAGGTGGATGGATAGATAGTTATATCTAGGCATGGCTACATAGGGATGTATATCGTGTAAGCTTGGGGTATAGACTCTTCCAAACAGCCCAACAAAACCCTACAAGGAAGGTTTCAGGGTGGCCTTTTTGGGGGGAGGGGTTCTGATTTCAGGTTCTGGCTATATCCTCCCACCCAGCCTTCAGATCAGCTTGCAGGGGTGGAAGGAATAGAAAAGACAGTTGAAGCTATTTCATTATTGGGGATTTTATGACTTTATGTACAGTAGTGCTACGGATGCAATTGAGGAGGCTTTAGGACATACAGTTACACCTGCAAAAGTACATAGTATCCAAGGAGCGAAATTCACATCAAATCAGGGAGTACCACCGGAAGCTGTGGGCTTTTTGTTTGTTTGTGTGCGACGTGTTTGCAGAATGTAGGTCTTCCAGTTCTGGTGATGGAACTTCCGCGCCACTGCTATTCCGAGTAGGCTGCAGACTTGGCTACCTTCAGGGGATCCTGATTTCTGGCCATTTGTAGTGCAAGTCTTCAGTTTGGTCAGAGCAGCTGCCAGGTGGCGTAAAACAACCATCACTGGGAAGCTGTTGTTGGCATACCAAAGCGCATGCTCGGCTGAAGGTTTCGAACACGAGACTTGTTTCAACCTGATATGCAACATCAGGCTTTGATTCTTCAGCATTGGTAACCCTAAACCTTAAATAGTTGTTTCCACTTCATGTCCATTTTCCATTTGATTTTCCATTACTGGTATAACCTTTCAAAGGAACCTAGGGCTTGCATGTCAGTTTCCATTTTCTAGGTCTTTAGGGTTTAGGGTTACTGGTAACCCTATTTGTGAACAGAAGGCAAGGATGCGGGCATGTCAGGAGGATCAGTTGTGCAGGCATGAAGACAAGTATGACACGACCCTGAGCATGTGGCGTGGGATTGACGGTGCTGCCTTCTTGACACATTCTGCTATCTGCTAACGGGGCCCTTTAGGCCGTTGTTGCCCTCCAAATACTAGGTCATTGTTGGATGTCATGGCTCATCTTATAGTTTACCGAGACTACGAAGCAAGGAGCATACAAATCATAATTCTTGAATATTCTAGATAGTATATAGACCTTAAACCCTAATTAAACAGTAGTTTCCCATACATTTTCCATTATCCCTATAGAACCACCATATAACCCCATATTCTATCTACTTAAGTGGGGCTCTAGTTCAAGAAGGGTTTACTTTGGCCCTGCGACGCCCAGAGTAACATCCTGCGAGGCGTCGGGCAGAGCAAGCACTTCAGTGTTGCCACAGACGGCTACTGGGCAAGGGGCCCAGGACATGACTTAGGGTTTAGGGTTTAGGGATGTATGCTGATCTGCAAGTTATAGGTTCCCCTACTACCCCCTCTCTATATTACCTTCTTAGGTTCCCCCTCAATGGGGGTAATAAGGAACCCATGAGCAAGGCTTCTGAATTCTTGAGCTTCTGCGGATGGTTTAGACATCTCTGGCAGGAAGCTCCAGAGTGCGAGGGTAGTTCATGTTCAAGTGGCCTTTTCGCTGTCTGATAAGCAAACTTTGGCCACAAGGAGACGCAGTTCACTGTGAAAGGCATGAATTCAGTGCTATTGCTTGCTGACAACGGCATCGAGGCAAGACCCCCAAATGGAAGATTCTGGCTCAAGCATTTTGTGAAGCTTTCGGCCTCTCTGTCTTCAATGAAGCTCGTGCCTTGGACATGCATTTTGCTCGTATGTACCGCAAGCTTGCTCACGCAGAGTTCAGCGGCTTGTTTACCATTGTTCTTCATTCTTTGTCATGAATATTAACAGCTGGTCCATGAATATTATTATCACTATTACTATTAT